TCATCTTTATTTAGATCTTTATTTCTTCATATGGCTCAAGTTAGTGTCTCGTGTCCTTCATTTCACCTTGCAGGACTCCCTTGATCATTTCTTTTTCTTCCAGGACAGGTCTAGTGGTAATGAACTCCCTTAGCTTTTGTTTATTGGGACTTTCTTAATTTCTCCTTCACCCTTGAAGGACAGTTTTTCCTGATACAGGATTCTTAGTTTATAGTTTTTTCCTTTGAGCACTTTGATATTACTGGCCTATTTTGCATCCCTCTAGAGAATTTTTCATTTCTGTTATTGTAGTTTTCAGTTCCAGAATTTCTTATTGGTTTCTTTTTAGGTTTTCTATTTTTATTGATACTTTCATTTATTCATACTTTTTTTTTTTTTTTTTTTTTAGTTTCTCTACATCTTCCTTTAGTTTTTTGAGCATCTTTTAGATAGTTGGGTTGACATCTTCTTCTAGTAGATCTGCCATCGGGTCTTTCTTGGGAACAGTTTGATTTGAATGGGCCTTACTTTCCTATTTCTCTGTATGCCTGTGATTTGTTGTTGTCAAAGCCTGAACATTTGAATCTGATAATGTGGTAGATCTGGAAATCAGATTCTCTGCCTTTGCCAGGTTTGTGGGTTTTTGTTATTGCTTTTGGTTTTGTTTTGTTTTTTAATATTGTAAGCAGTTTCTGTGCCAAGGATCAGCCTGAGGTATAAATTCAAGGTCTTCTCTGAGCCTGCTTCTTTCCCTAGATATGCATAGTCACTTTCTACTTTCTACTTTTCCCCATATATGCAGTGGCTTTTGAATATCCTAGCCTTTAATGTCTGTCTGGCTCCTAAAAGAAGAAAAAGAAAAAAGATGGGGGAGGGGGAAGGGTGTTGGCCCTATTTAAAAGCCCTGGAAGTAACTGTGACCAGAGAAGAAGAGACTTGCAACAGTGGGGAGAAGTACACATCTAGAGGCTTCCCTCACATTTGCAACTCTGTGATTAAAAACAGCAGTCAGCGGTCAGACTACAGATACCTGATGTTTGGAGGACAGGATCCATTTTGCTTTCCCTGGCTCCTGCAGAGTGAGTACAAGGTGCTGCAGGAACATATGCACAGTTGCCTGCCAAGGAGTCGGGGGTTGGTCACTGCTACTGAGCTAAGAACTGCAATTGACCCATATTAGCCACATTCGCCATCCAAATCTTCCCCTAGAACTGTAATCCTTCAACTGGTTCTAGAGTTCCAGAATAGTTAAGTTATCCTGCTAGGATAATAATCATCATCTAGATGGGGAGACAGATTTCTGGTTCTTCATACTCCTCCATCTTTCCAAAACCCTCTGACTCTAGTCTTTAAGGCTCTCCTCCGTCTTAGTTGGGACAGTCAACAATTGTCTTTAGTCTCTTCAGCTTGTTCCCTTCTCTCTCTTACCTTCTTCTTTCTTCTAATTCAGTGTTTTGTGTTTTTTGTTTTTTTAACCTTTCAGAGGTCATAGGTTCTTTTCAGAATTTGCAGAAAAATACCCATGAACTGTCTCCCTAGAAAAACATGTATGTACAGTCACTCAAAATGAGCAGACAATTCAGATGTCCAACAGATGACCTGAAGTCCTATCATGGCCCTTTTGAATAGAGCCTCTATTATAAAGATGCATCTCTGTGATCTTCCTTGGTACTGTGGTCAGAAGATATTCTGTCCTGCAACAAGATGTTAACTAGCAGACTGTGAATAGGAATTGCCCTCTCACAGATTTGTAGGAAAATTCTGAATACAGCTAGAAAAGCCTCTTTTCCAGAATATGAAATCATGATACATTTTCCATTTTTGCACAATTGATACGTTTATTCGATGACACTAAATTGGTGCATGTATGGGGTAGTTATTTATAGTTTACAATGCAAACTTGTGATTGTCACCCACTTGAAAAACATAGGGATGACAGACTAATTAAGTGAGGACAAAGTCAAATTAATGAAATATACATCCAGTGCAGTTGTGTCTGTGTATGTGTGTGAAACCTGGTATCTCTTCAGATGTATAGAGAAATAACACATTATGTATAGAGAAATAACACATTATGTATATATAATAATAGGGACAATAACAGCCAATTATTTTCTAGGTAGACTTTTTTTGGATCTGTTTTTATACTTCAAAAGCACTTGTTTTATACTTCAAAATCACCATATTAATTACTAGTATACAAAAAGTGTTATAAAAGTAGTCAAGGAAACAGACTTTTCCTTTAAGAGATTAAATGTTTCTTTGGCAAGTAAGTTCAAGTTCTGAATTTGGTTCATAAAACTGTTTTATAGAAGGGATACCATGGATTAGAGGGTCAAATTGATAAGATTAAAATATTTAAAAAAACAAAGCAAATAATGAAACAGTAACATTTTGTCATGGTGAGTATTTCTGGAGTGGGCCCTTGCAGAACAGACCAATGCCTCCCGATCCCCTGGGCTGACAATGGCATTCGACCTGGTAGTTGATGTGGACTTTTCTTGGCCACACTGACCAAGAAGCTGTGCCCATGAAGGATTGTTCAGAGGTTCTTTGTGTATAGTGCTTAGGCATGCTCCAGGGCAGATAGCCAACGTGTTCATCTAAAATGGTAATTTTTTTGAATTTTGTTTTCTTCAGAATTAAAATCACCAATTGAATCTTCTAAGGAGGCCAGTAAGTAAAAATAATCTCAATAACTGCTAACAGGAGTTTGATTTAGACTGACAGATTACAAATGAATGGTTCATATCTCCCAAAGTGTTTTCCAGCCTGGCAAATTGGACTTTAGTATAGAATTATGTACAGTTAAATCATGGTGTATGCATGTGGTCAGTGCTGCTTTTCTTTTAAGTGGTCCTGTTTAAAAACTTGGAAATGAGGAGTTTTTTTGTTCCCTCAGTGGGGTCTATCATAAAACTCATATGCCCAAAAAAGAAAGTCCTGTTTCGTGCTGTGCATGAAGTGGATCACGAGTGAACCGGAGGAGGGATGGGCATAGTGCTTTTGTCCTTCTGTCCACAGAAGGCAAGCTCTAATGGCCAACAGATGACATTTGTGGAGATCTGGGGTGAGGAAGGCCTTGAGGAAGGCACTGCAATTGATGTCAAACACTGTAATGCCAAGCATACATTTTCATTCTTATTCCTTAGTGATAATAAAAACAATGCTAGAAAGAAACAAAAATCTAGAAAGACGAGTGAAAATCATGTGGTGTTGGTAGATGACATTTGCTATGAAAAGGGTCGGTTTGACAACTGTGGAGGAGGGAATGTTGTTTTGCTCCACTCTATGCAATATAGCTTCACGAGTAAAGGTTTTGGTTTCAGACTGGACTATTCCGGGTGTCGGGTGGGGGGGAGTAGCCATGTAGCGTCAATAGCAGCTAAATGAGTTGCACAGTCCCATGTGGCAGGTACAGCCAACAGCCATGGAGTCATGGAACTATAGCTCAGACAGACCCTCACAGGGAGGGTGAGCACCCCACCCTTTGATCTGTAGATGAGAAAATGAGGGGTCTCAGAGAGACCACATAGTTGGTTTGTGGCAAGGGATAGAGAGTTTTCATAGGAAAGTGAGAATTTAACCACAAAAAGAATTGATAGAAAATTATCCTAATCTGCCAAGTTAGTTATTTTTTAAAAGATTTTATTTATTTATTTATTTATTTATTTATTTATTTGACAGATAGAGATCACAAGTAGGCAGAGAGGCAGACAGAGAGAGAGAGAGGAGGAAGCAGGCTCCCCGCTGAGCAGAGAGCCTGATTTTGGGCTCGATCCCAAGACCCTGGGATCATGACCAGAACTGAAGGCAGAGTCTTTAACCCACTGAGCCACCCAGGCGCCCCTAAGATTTTATTTATTTATTTGACAGACAGAGATCACAAGTAGGCAGAGAGTCAGGCAGAGAGAAAAGGGGGAAGCAGGCTCCCCAACTGAGCAGAGAGCCTGATGTGGGGCTTGATCGCAGGACCCTGAGATCATGACCTGAGCCAAAGGCAGAGGCTTCACCCACTGAGCCACCCAGGCGCCCTTTAAGTTAGTTTATTTTTTAACTGTGACCTAAATCCTTTTAAGTACAACTCAGTTATCATCTCCAAAATCCTTCTAGAACCCCAGCCTTGGGCCAAGGACTCTTCCTCGTGTAGCCACCTCTGGCATCTCGCTTCCATAGCTCTCATTAGATGTTGCAGAAATTATCTGGTCAGGTTTTTGTTTATAAATCCTTCACATACATTCATCTTTAGAGTCTGTTTTGTTTCATTCTTCTTTGTACTTTTTATAGGAATAGAGGAACTACATGCAATATTAACAACTCTACTCCTATTTGTGGAACCGCTTTTTAATAACCTCCCTGGGAGTGTTGTCTTTTACTTATAGGGTGAGCCTGGGCACTGGTGTTTTCAGGAGGCCGCAGTAAGTTTGAGCAGATAGTCTATGGGCATTTAAATTATCTGACAGTAGAAAGCTGTTCTGAGCCAGGTTGACACTCCTAAACAAGCTTGCATGGGGCGGAGGGGACAGGGTGGCTACACTGTTGATGTCGGGGTAATGGCCAGCTGGAAATAAACAAGGGGCCCTTTGTTCTACTGGTGGCAAAAACTTTATGTGAGTGAGAATGGAAAAGCTTTAATGAGCCTGAAGTGGCAACCTGGACAAATAGGAACTGAAGCCTTAGTGTTAGTGAGAATCCAAGTCTGATTCCCTTTTTGAGTTTACTTTTTCTATTAAAAATATATATCAAACATAGGAGCAAGTATAGAGAGTATTGTTTGAATGTCTGCATGCCTACCCATTGCTTTACTAAATCTTAACTTTCTGATATTTTTTATCCTCTTTCTTCCCTATCCAGAGGCTTTTATTACACATTTGGTGTGAAATACTCTGAGATTCTGAATTTGACTCATTGGGGTCTCCCTCCATGCCAGGGCCTCTGTGTAATGAGACAGGCGCTGGGCTTATAGCAATAAAAGCATAGTTTTGGAGCCACTATGAGGCTATCATAAAGATTCAGAATGTGGCAGTGAGATTCAGACCACAGAGCCAGGGTTCCGCAGACCTTACGTTCTTGACCAGTCTCGGTGTTGCCCCCAACGGATGAGGAGAGATGGTGGCCCAGAAAGTCACTCACCAAGGTGAGCCTCGAACGAACATGGTTTCAGGATCTCTGGTTTAAGGGTAGTGCCTTTCAGTCATTCTGGATTGTAACCCACAGTAGCAAACCGCTTTGCGTTGTGCGTTGCAAATTGCTCAGTGTCCCTCAGCATAAGAGCGTGTACACTCGTACACACTCACACAGAGCACACGCCTGTGAGTGAGGGTGTTAATGAAATAATACCCTTTCTTTGTAAGCTGCACTACAGTCTAGTCTATTTTGTTGTACAAAAGCTATTTTGTTTGACTAAATTGATTTCATGTGTCATTAATAGGTAGGAACCCGTGGTTTAAAACAACAGCAGCAAAGCCCAGTTTAGAGAACCATTATTTGTCTCATGGAGCAAACATTTTTTGAAGGATTATTTGGTTTAACTCTGCTGAATATTTTGTAAAAAGCTTTTATGTATCCCTGACTTAAACTTCAAGCTTTATTTCACAATGTACTCGTGGAAGTCCCATGTAAAATTAAGCAGAATTCAAAGCTCTTTGGGGGTTCAGGTCATTCTGCACTGTGTTACTTCTCTTTCAAGCTCCCAATCCTCTTCGACCATTGCTTTAAGGCAGCCTGTCTTGATTAAATAAACAGACCTTGAACACGGTGACTTAACTATTTTTTATAAATTCATGATCATTAAGCCACAAAATCAACCTTTCCAAATAAAACTGAGCATAAGTCAAACTGCCAAGTGAGAAAACCCAGCTATCAAGCCCTCAAGTCTCCTTTGCCTCAGAGTTTACCTCTCTATTCAATGCTAAAGTCTATATGAAGAACAAAGTGATGCGGGTGCTGCTTTATATTTATTAAACTCATCAATTTGCTTGTAACCAGGCTGACATCCTCCTCCCTTGGGGGGGCCTGACAACTCTCACGACAGCAGGGGTTTATGTAGCACCTTTGCTGGGAGAAGTTTATATAATTGTACCTGGATAGATACAGCTTTCCCTCCGGGGAAGTGGAAGAGAAAATGATACTTACTGCATATCAAATAAGCAGTCATTGGAGATTTTGAGCTAGATTGATTCTAACATACTGAAATGAGTTTGCGTGCTCCAAAATGTTACCAACAGACACTTTAAACTTTAATAAGGTACTGGTTTCCAAAATCTCGAAGAAGGAGAGGGTTTTGTTTGAGCCAACTATTTCACAGAAGAGGAAGTGTGGTTCTACCTTAGGAAATTTAAATGGGACTGTTGAATAATGAGGAAAGAATGTCTCCTTTGGATGACAGGGTGAAGAAGTATTCAACTGATTTTCAGGCAGAATAACAAATGGGACAACAGTACTTTTGTGTACACATTTTTTGTACCATGAGTATGTATAACTTCTAAAAAAAAAAAAACCAGTTTTCAAACTTTTTGGTTTTATGACGCCTTTCTACTCTTAAGAATTATTGAGAACTCCAAAGAACCTTTGTTTGTGTGGCTCATATCTATCAGCCTTTACCATTTTCAGAATTAAGACTTACAAACTTAAACATATTTATTGATTCATTTAAAAAGAATGATAAACCCCTTATATATTAACAGAAACATTTTTATTTAAAAATGATATTTAAAAAGAATTATTAAAAAGACTGTTACTGTTTCATATCTCTGCAAATCTCTTTAATGCCTGGTTAAGAGATGACACTTGGATTCTCATATCTGTTTTTGCGTATCATCATTTGTGATACATTTTTTTAAGTTGAAACACATGAAGAAAATCTAGCGCACACAGAAATGTAATTGGAAAATTGAGGACCCTGGCAGCCCAGCCCCCTCATGGGAACTCTGGTCCTTTGAAAACCACTGTCCTATAAAGTAGTTTGTACATAAATGGTGAGATTATTAGTGTCCTAATTTTTTTTCTATTCCATTTATATATTTTTCCAACAGTGAAGATGGATTGCTTGCACAAACTCTAATTGAGAAAGGAAGACGCATGAGCGTGTTGTGGAAAGATTATAGAGGCCGTCAAAATCCAGGGAGAGAAGTTTATACTTGGGAAATGAAGGAGTCACTGTAATTTCTTAAATAGGAAAATGACTCGGTAAAAATTGTGTTGGGGAGTAAATGGATTAGAATTGGAAGAGAAGAGCTACTCAGAGGTTGTTGCAGCAATCCAGGAGCGTGGTGAGGGGGGCGAGACCTCACATGTTGGTAGAAACTGAGAAATATCAAAATCTGAGAGGCACTTTGAAGACAGAATTACCAAGACTTGGGTAAGGGGATGGTAGAGAGGGAGAGTCAAAGATGACTAAGACTTTCCAAGTCTAAGACATTTGAAGTGTATTTTCTTCCTTATATGCAATGTTTAATTTTTTTTTAATTATCCTGATGAAGCTAATTAGAACTTTATCTTGTCTTTTTGTTTTTGTTTTTGTTTTCCAGAGTTGGCCAGGCCCTTGTAGGGCCTGGGAGAAAGTCCACCGAGTTCCCAAGCTGGATCGGTCAGTTACTTCCAGAAGAAAAGAAAGACCTACAACATCCCTGGAGAGTTTGTACCTATGACATCCCTGGAGAGTCTCTTGCTACATTCTTCCCTCAGGCCCTGCAGGCAGTAACGGGCCGTCTCTCCAGTTCCGTTGGCCCTGGACGCCTGCAGTTCACCTCTTATGCACTCCAGCACCCCCATCAGCTCCCTCTTCTCCTTCACCAGCCCAGCAGTGAAGAGACTGCTAGGCTGGAAGCAAGGAGATGAAGAGGAAAAGTGGGCAGAGAAGGCGGTAGACTCCTTAGTGAAGAAATTAAAGAAGAAGAAAGGAGCCATGGATGAGCTGGAGAGGGCCCTCAGCTGTCCAGGGCAGCCCAGCAAATGTGTGACAATTCCCCGGTCTCTGGATGGGCGGCTGCAGGTGTCCCACCGCAAGGGTTTGCCCCATGTTATTTACTGCCGCGTGTGGCGCTGGCCTGATCTCCAGTCTCATCACGAGCTGAAGCCGCTGGAGTGCTGTGAGTTCCCATTTGGCTCCAAGCAGAAAGAGGTGTGCATTAACCCCTATCACTACCGCCGGGTGGAGACTCCAGGTGAGTTTTCTTCCTGATGTCATCCTTTGTTTTAAAAGTTGAGGAACTGTGTCCCAGTTGATGAGGAGTGATGGGGCGTCGGCAAGACAAAGACCCCCACCCCCAACACCACCACCGAAAGAAAGGAAGAGGGGAAGGTTCAGTTTTAAGGAAGTAATCCAAACCTTTGTTTTTGTGGTCAGAAAAGTCTAGAAAGAAGATAATTTTAGTATACATGTAAGTTTTGTGTGATTTTGAAAAGTGAAGTTTGGATGTATCTTGGAGTTTATTATCATCAGGTTTTTCTAGTTCTTGGGGTATTTGAAGATCTTAATATGGCCTTGATATTATTAACTGTAAAAAAAAAAATCCTCCTTCCCGTCCTGTCTCCCTCAGTGAAACCGAACTAAGCTAAAGGTTGTTTTTGTTTTGTTTTGTTTAAGATTTTATTTATTTATTTGACACAGAGAGAGATCGAAAGTAGGCAGAGAGGCAGGCCGGCGGGGGGGGGGGGGGGGGGTGAGATGCAGGCTCCCTGCTGAGCAGAGAGCCTGGTGCGGGGCTGGATCCCAGGACCCTGAGACCACCACCCAAGCCAAAGGCAGAGGCTTAACCCATTGAGCCACGCAGGCGCCCCCTAAAGAAGGTTTTTGCTGCCACTTTCCACAAGCTCACATACATGGAAGTATCTCCTATCTGGGTCTGCAAACAGCCAGTGAAAGAAGTGCTGGAAATCCTTTCAGGGAAAGAAAGAAACAGGGGCTGGGAGAGACTGGCAATTTTCTTAAGTGTGGCTTTAAATATAAGAAGATACCATTCTGAAACCCGTCACACATGTGTGTGTGTGGACACACATTTTTGTGTGTCTTTTTGAAGTCTGGAGTTTACCTTTGTCCTTCACACTGACTGGAACAGTTGGAGTCCATTCCTCTTGGACTGAGTGTTTCTGTGGCTGCTGGGATGCAGATTTAATAGAAGCTTCCTCTCCCTATTTGGCTGTTTGCCTCATCCCAGAAGACCAGAGGGCTGGCCCAGGAGCTCTGGGAATGGCCCATGTACATTAAAAGATGGTTCTGTCTAGGCATGCGGGCCGTGGTGGGGGTCCAGCCTGCCGCCTGGCTCCAAAATTCAATTAACCTTACAGCAATGGTGGAGAAATTGTGCTCAGCTGCCAGTGGTCTTTGTGAGGTGACTTTCAGGCTTCCAGATCTCACCATCCTCTTGTAAAACTGCCTGGGTGTAGACACTTCTCACCGTCATTTCATCCCAGGATTAGTCCCTGTATGAGACTGTTGAGAAAGTCCTGGTGAATCTGATGGGTTTCCACTAGATCATATAGGTCTTAGCTTTCTTCTTTTTTTTCCTGCTTCTCTCTGGATTCTCTGCCTACTAAAAAAAGTCATCTGGGGCACCTGGTGGCTCAGTGGGTTAAAGCCTCTGCCTTCGGCTCAGGTCATGGTCCCAGGGTCCTGGGATCGAGCCCCGAATCGGGCTCTCTGCTCAGGAGGGAGCCTACTTCCCTTCCTCTCTCTCTGCCTACTTGCGATCTCTATCTGTCAAATAAATAAATAAAATATTAAAAAAAAATAAAGTCATCCAGGTCTGACTTTAAGACAATGGTTTGATACCTTTTTTGTTTCAAAGATTTGAGTTATATTAAGCATTTAGAATATACCCAATGAAAAAAATATTCATTAAGAAATCATTTCACTCTTTCTGAGGAATGTAGTTGTAAAATGTACATTGCAAGCAGTATCTTGTTAACTGTCTCTGGCTTTCCTTTTGAATACTAGAAAACCTAATTTTATTTTTAAACTTTTTAAAAAAGATTTATTTATTTGAGAGAGAGAGAGAGCATAAGAATGAGCAGGGGAGGGGCAGTGAGAGAGAGAATCCTAAGCGGACTCCCAAGCCAAGTGCAGAGTCCAACGTGGGGCTTGATCTTGGGACCCTGAGATCACGATCTTGAGATCATGACCTGAACTGAAAGCAAGAGTCAGACACTTAACCAGCTGTGCCACCCAAGCACCCCTAGAACACCTAATTTTAAAGGCTTAGTTTGTGTTTTAGTTTATGTAAGGTTCTTTTTAGAAATGGTAATGTGAATATATTTACATATGGCAGATGGATTTCATATCATAACATTTTAGGTTTTAGTTTCCAAAATGGAAGACGCGTGGAGATTGTATTAATTTTAAGGTAATATTTAAGCCATCCGGGATTTTTTTTTTATTCCTAACTTTGTTTTTGTTTTTTTATTAGAAAAATCAAATTTGTACTTAACTTTCTGGCCATGTTTAAAGTAAATATTTTGAGAACAGTGAGGGTGCTAATATTAAGCAAGTTTACTGGGTTCCTAGTTATCATAAAGCTTAGTTAAGTTTTTTTGCATTTGAAATCTCATTTTTTTGACAACCTTCCCCCATTTTAGGAACACTGAGGGCTGCACTCTGATTTTCTTATTACTCACACAACCTTTTATATCATTTATTTAAGTTCTTTCTAACTATCTGTAGTGAAGGATCCGTTTTAATTTTTAAATTTTCAATCCTTCAAATATCAGTACTTTTGTAATGCAAACGAATTACGTGGCAAATGAAATTTTAAGAAGACAAAAATAAAAAGGCAAACGTAGGTTTGCTTTTTTTTTAACTATAATAAAATATATATATATATATATTTTTTTTTTAGATTTTTATTTTATTTATTTGACATACAGAGATCACAAGTAAGCAGAGAGGCAGGCAGAGAGAGAGGAGGAAGCGGGGAGTGCTCAGCAGGGAGCCCGATACGGGGCTCGATCTCAGGACCCTGGGATCATGACCTGAGGTAAAGGCAGAGGCTTTAATCCACTGAGCCACCCAGGTGCCCCTATAATAAAATATTTTATATCTGCATTTCAACAGATATAAAATTACCCTGTCAAATTGCTAACTTTAATAAATTTCTAAACAGTTCAGTCTCAACCTCAAAACTGTATTTTCCTTGGCTGGCACCTAGCAGCTGGTAAAGTGTTATCAGTCCCCAAATCTCACTTTGCATGGCTTGCGTCTAGTAGCTTCTGGGCAAACAGTGTTTTTGTAGTGTGTCATGATTTTACTCCATGCAACTAGAGCTTATTTCAGGAGTATAATTTCTTTTCTATATAAAATACCCACATATAAAAACCACATGAGTTTTGAAAGAGATACAAAATCTTTTCAGCTCTGCTCTGCACCCCATATGCGGCAGGAATAACTCCTGCCACTGTTCTCCCCCAAGTGGTGCTTAGTTGTTAAGATAGTGTTGTATTTAAAAGGTGGCATAAAATTGAAACCAGTGTCTGTAATCTTACTATGTCATATTTGTAAGCAGCAGTTATGATCTAGAAATAGAATTTAGTAATTAGGAATAGCTATTGCTATGGATTGAACATTTTTGTGCCCCCTCTCCTTCATATGTTGAAAACCTAATGCTTAAGGTGATAGTACTAGGAGGTGGGGGCGGTTGCTTTGGGAAATGATTCAGTCATGCAGACAGACCCTTACAAATGGGGTTAGTGTCTTTATTAAAGAGGCCCCAGAGAGATCCCGCATCCCTTTCCACCCTGTGAGGGCAAAAAAGGTCCCAGTCTGTAGCCTCAAAGAGAGCTTTCCCCAGAACCTAACGATGCTGCACCCTAATCTTGGACTTCCCGCCCTGGAAACTGTGAGAAATACATTTCTATTGTTTATAAGCCACACACTGTATGGTATTTCTATTATAACAGTCCAGATGGACTAAGACAGCTATGTTTTGAGTGGAAATATTTAAAAATATGACCAGTGCGTATCTAAGGTAAACTAGCCAGTCAAGCTGAATGCCAGCCGGGATGATTACCATTGGTTTTCTTTACAGAAATCACTGCCTTTGGTTTTAGGTGAATGGTAAAAAATACATTATCAAGACATTTGTTTCAATAAAGGAAAACAAACCTTTTTTTTTTTCTTTTTGGTGTCTCAGATCTTTGGCCCATGAGGAAATAGAAGTTTCTGCCTCTGGATGGTGTGAGGCATTATATTTAACAATGTTAGGAATACCCTATAGATATTTTACACTACAACTGAAGTTACAGAGATTATCCCAATTCTTTTTCATCCAAAAAAGAAAAATGAGTGTTTGTTTTGAGCCTTGTTAGCATTATAATGAAGTGTCATTGCAGAAGAAAGCCATATACCATGGACTCTGTTGGGCCCCCCCTTCCGGGCCATATACCATGGACTCTGTTGGGCCCCCCCTTCCGGGCCATATACCATGGACTCTGTTGGCCCCCCCGCCTTTCATGAATCAGGTCATCTTTTTGTTCCCACATACTCATGGAACACATAAAAGGAAGTGATGGCTTATCATCCAGCTCATTTTTAGATGATGATGTGGAGAGTTCTGTAATGTCATACATTATACACATAGACACATACACTGGGTTTTTAAGGGGGAAGAATTCATTTGTTTCTCTGCCACCCTCAGCTGGGGTGGTTTAGTTTTAAAACTTCATTTACCTGTTTGAGTTTATTTTCTAACTTGCTTGTTAGGAAAGAGATAAACGTATGATGGCAGAGAAGTGGTAGACTTTGTGATTGATGTTATTGTTATTTTATCGCTATTGTTGTCATCTGTTTATTCCAAAACATTTACTTTTTATCAAAGTTTTTATCAATACTTGCATGTGGTAACAAACCAGTAATATTATTAAAAACAAGAGCTACCCCATCCATCTCCAGAAACAACTTCTCTTAATCATTCTTGGTTAGTTCTTTTTTTGTTCCCTCCATTATTACTAAAAATTATGGAGATAACTCTAGATAATATATTTATACATGTAGACGATATGTTTATACATTAATTACTAAAAATTATGGAGGTAATCCTATATAATATGCTTATATATCTGTTTCTGAACCTTTCACCTTCAGGTAATTTCATTGACTAATACAAAAGATGAGGACTTAGCTAATTTATATTAACTTCTTTCTTCCTCTTTTTAAATGTCTGATATCTATCTTGTAGTTTATTTATTTATTTATTTATTTTTGGCTCTTCAATTGATTTCCATTTTGGCAGCTGGGGGTAAGGATTATTTTCCCTTAGAAGAGCTTTGCAATTGCCTTTGACCACTTCCTCCTTGTTTTCTCTGCTTCTCTTTCTGGAACTTACTTTGGTCACAGGTTGTACCACATTTATTGATTATCTTCTTTGTGCCAGGCACTCTGACACTTTAGAAGTCCGTAAGAACTAGGAATGCCTGGATAATACTTGCCCTTGAAAATTGCATCCATTCCTAACATTTTGTATAGAATCAGGATCAAAACCACTTTTTTTTTTAATGTGGAACCCAGAAAAAACACACATAGGGCTTTGTTTATAAGTTTTTTTTATTGATGCTTATCTTTTACTGATTTGCTTTGTATTACTCTCTGTTTATCTTTTACTTAGTCATTTTTAGGTACCTTTAAGAGCTTTCTGATAAAGACAAGTAGATTTTTTCTTTTCTTTTCTTTTCTTCTTCTTCTTCTTTTTTTTTTTTTTTAAACTTTAGCAACACTAGGCTGCCTGTCTGAATAATTCAACATGGTCTCTGAAAGAAAAATATTCTGGGCATCACTTAGAAACCAATTTTGCCTTTTAAAAAAACCAAACCACTTTATTGGCAGAATCAAAAGAAGACACAAACAATTAGTCCTGCAGAAGGCCAGATAATAGGGCAGTTCTGGTAATTTCTGTGGTAGGAATGAATAGGCAGTCTCTTTAGTGTGCTGACCTCAGAATGATTCTCCTCTAAACTTTTTACTGTGATACTCTGCTTAATATTCAGTTTGCAAGAGTGTTTAAGTACTAAACACTGGTGTTTAGTTTGCTTTACCAGCTCACTTTCTGGGAAACGACGGAACCTTAATTGACAGCTTTACAATAAGCACAAAGAATGGTGGGTGGGCAGTTCCCAGAAAACAGAGCTTTATCATGAAGAAAATGGGCAGACACAAAGAGTAAGCGTCCACTGGATTTTGTGCCGAGGAGCCAAAGCTCAATTCTAATCCACTGGTTCCTTTCTTATCCTAGTGCTGCCTCCCGTCCTCGTGCCAAGGCACAGTGAATATAACCCCCAGCTCAGCCTTCTGGCCAAGTTCCGCAGTGCCTCCCTCCACAGTGAGCCTCTCATGCCGCACAACGCCACCTATCCAGACTCTTTCCAGCAGCCTCCGTGCTCGGCCTTCCCTCCCTCTCCAGGACCTGGGCACGTGTTCACACAGTCCCCGTGCACCGCTGGCTACCCTCACTCCCCAGAGAGTCCTTCGGAGCCAGAGAGCCCCTATCAACACTCAGGTCAGTGAAAGCTGCTGTCCCTCTACGTGGAGTTTGACCCAACGCAATCAGTTATGGTGGGACCATCCTAATTACTGTCACTGTTACTCACATTCATATGGAACTTTGCCGTTTACATGGCCATGTCCTGTGGGCCTTCGGACCCACCCACCTCTAAGATCAGGGCCAGTTGGGAGCAGTTATCCTAGAGCTACACATATCTTTGCTCTGGTTTCTGGCTCTCACCCTCTGGAAGATGCTAAACGGATTTGAACAGCATCTCTGGGACTTTCCAGGGATTTTTTTGTAAGGTGGCAGAAATAAGATGATCAAATACTTCTCTAACCCAAGGAGAAAGACTTGACCTGAGGGTAAGCAACGTGAGGGGTCCATGCTTGGCCTTTTCTTTGGCTGTCTCTTTCAGTAAACACAGGGAGTCCCAGCCTCCAAAAGATGAATGCTTAACGTCCCCGGGGCAGAGTTGGGCCCCACCTAGCCTGTGCTTCTCCTTTTGTGCTGTGTGAAGCCAGCACAGCATCTTGAAGACAGAGCTAGTCAGTAAACGTTTGCTGAACTGAAAAAGCCAATGGAAGGGACATCCTGTGCAAAAGGGAGAATCAAGCACATTGTCACAGTTGCACATGCCGCCGCTCCTATAAAGTGGGTCCAAGTTAGATCATGAAGAAGAGATTTACATGCACCTCTTGAGTGTGAGATGAATCATATCCTGAGCGACAAATTCTTAGAGGCCAGCCTAAACTCATCTGGCGCTAAATGTTACAATCTGCCTCATTCATGTGTTCATATATTCCTTTATTTAACGGATATTTATGGAACACTTATTATATACAAGCATTGCCTTGGGGAGCTGGAAGGAGAATTCAAAGATGGGTAAAAAATGTCCCTGTCCTCATAGAACTTATAAAATGTGGGAAGACAGAAAAGGAGGTGCCCCTTCCTTTCTGAATTATTCAGTTCTGCCTTTTGCTCCATCAGCAATACAGCTACTATTTTCATACACATCTACTATTGCATTTATCACACTCTGTTATATAATTCCTCATTATATATTCCTCCCCCCCATTCAACTGCCAGTCATCTTCTCTTTTTTATATGTAGCGCAGGTCCTAAAACACAGTGCTTGCTCATCAGTTGATTGCAGAGTAAACAAATCACCACACAGGCATTTGGAACTGGGTCAGAGCCTAGGGTTATAGCTCTTGATGTTACTGAGACAATAAGTAATGGCAGAGCATCTACTAAGTGCCGGGCACTGTGCTACTGCGAGAGGTACAATGATGATTGAGTCTGACAAGAGTCTCTGACCTTCAGGAGGCAGTAGCTGTTGAGAACAATCATGTAAGTAAGCAATGAGGCTGTCACAGTCCGGACAAGTAACGGTAAGGACCTGAACTAAGAAAGGGATGTGGGGAGGGGAAAAAGACAAGGATTTTGAGGAGACAGACTCAATAGAACTTGATGCGGGGGTGAAGGCAGAGACTCTGGGAGGGAGCTCAGGAGTCATCCACTCAGTGGGGAGGAGATGGTTGCTGTCTTACAAGGAGCTGGATTCACCAAGAGAGGGACACAACAGGAAGAGAAGTCATTTGAGGACAGAGCCAAGGTTAAGGGACAGGAGGATAATTATGTCACAGAACACCTGTTTACTTGAAACATATCTGTGCTGTAACATATCCTGCACTGGTGAAACTCAAAGTTTGATGTTTTTTCCCCTCTTCCCACCCATGAAGGACAGACCCCAACACCTCTGCAGAAGCTGGTTCGTTTTCATAGAGGGAATGGCTCTTTTAATTTCAAAGAAAATAATTATTTTCTGAATGATTAACAGCAAAATACAACCTGCAAAACAGACCCATCGATAAGTGAAACTAAAAGGAGATTCTGAAATTTAATAGTTCAGCACCTTATTTCTTTTACCAGCTTTATTGAGATATAATTCATATATCATACAGTTTACACACTTAAAGTGTGCAATGTAGTGATTTTCACTTATTAATTTTTAAAGTTGTGGTAAGATATATATCTCATAAAGTTGGACATTTTAACCATTTTAAGTGTACAATCCAGTGGCATTAAGCGCATTCACAGTTCTGTGCAACCATCCTCACCATCTATTTCCAAAATTTTTTCATCCACCTAAACAGAAACTCTGTGCCTATTAGCAGTAGCTCCCAGTTCTTCCCCTGCCCTTTCCTCCTGCCCCTGGCAACCTCCAGTCCACTTATTATCTCTGTGAATTTGCTTATTCTAGGTACCTCAAAGAAACGGAATCATACAATATATGTCTTTTTGTGTCTGGCTTATTTCAATTAGCATAGCGTTTTCATAGTTCAACTATGTTGTTAGCCTGTGTCGTTTACTTCATTTTTGTGATTAAACAATAATATTCCAAAATAAAGATACACCACATTAAAAAAAAAAATTTGTTGACTGATGGATATTTGGGCTATTTCCACCTTTTGGCTGGTGTGGATAATGCTGCTCCAAACACTAGCAGGCACGCATCTGCTTGAGTCCTTGCTTTCAGCACCTTTGAGCATATGCCTAGGAGCAGATATGGTGACATGGCAACTCTGTGTGCAGCCCCTGAGTTTTACAGATAGACGTACTCTGGGACCTGCAGAAGAGCCACCTTGCTCTATAACTTTTTCGCCAGGCTCATAGTTTATTTTCCCACAGGAAAATGTCTTACCCGTGGTTGCACGATGTGGTCTGCATTCGCATTGCCAGCAGTGCCTGGGGAATGTTCATGGCCACATCCAGCCATTGATCTCCAGACTCAAATTGCTGAGGGTGGGACCAGGAAACTGCATCTTTAACAATTTTCACTGGTGACTTTGATGCATGCTTAAGTGTGGGAACTACTTGGATGGACAAAATTCAGTTTTCAACAAAGGCAGACTGATTCAACTTTTTATGCCACTGAACTCTACCCACTGCTAATGTAACAAGACGATTATGAAGTGACATTAGGAATGTATACAGGAGGAATCAGTAATTCTGAGGTTCTCACTAAAGAGGTTTTCGTCTGCTGCAGGAGTTTTTATTGTGTTGTGAATTACTTTCTCCTAAGATCTGATCTACCGAATGCACAGCATTTGCCTAGGTATGATCACTGCCCGATTATAGGAACTGATACTTGGGGAGAGGAGCTCTTCTCCGCATGCCTTGGGCATAAGGTTATAATCAGGTTTCCACTGTTGTGCATTTTGGAGGCACATTTGGAACTATCTTAGAGACTGCGCATCCCTGCGGTCATTGTACCATCCATGGCAACAGAGGAATTGGAAAACTAAGCTCAAAGAAGGTTTAACTTTCTGTTTTGAAAGCCGGGCAACAGACCCCTGCGCTATTGAGAAAGCTAGGAGAATAGCTCCTTGATTTGAAAATCTTATGAAGTCATTGGAACTTAAAACTCTTTAGGTAACTCCCAAGTCTGTGGGAAAACTAATTGACCGTTTAGTGAGGATGTCAGGACAACAGATTTCTTACAGTGTCACTGCAGAATAGCCTGATGACGTGACTGGTCTCTCTCCAGCAGTAGCACTATGCGCCAGGCCCAGGAGTTTCACAGCGAGGAAGGCTGGAGCTGTCTTAGTGTAGTGTATCGGTTTTACTGCTTTCTTTTAGTTGACATACCACCCAGCCTTATCAGGCCACAGGAACCCCAAGGACCCAGAATGGCTGACCCATAGATGCCACAGCTGATAGTCATTTAGTGCTGTCTGTCCTTAATGGAGGTAAATTTGTAGATGAATAGCTCAATGAAGCTGTTTTCTTTCCTTTTTTTTTTTTTTTTAATATTTTATTTATTTATTTGTCAGAGAGAGAGAGAGAGAGCGAGCACAGGCAGACAGAGTGGCAGGCAGAGGCAGAGGGAGAAGCAGGCTCCCCACAGAACAGCCATATACCATGGACTCTGTTGGGCCCCCCCTTCCGGGCCATATACCATGGACTCTGTTGGGCCCCCCCTTCCGGGCCATATACCATGGACTCTGTTGGCCCCCCCGCCTTTCATGAATCAGGTCATCTTTTTGTTCCCACATACTCATGGAACACATAAAAGGAAGTGATGGCTTATCATCCAGCTCATTTTTAGATGATGATGTGGAGAGTTCTGTAATGTCATACATTATACACATAGACACATACACTGGGTTTTTAAGGGGGAAGAATTCATTTGTTTCTCTGCCACCCTCAGCTGGGGTGGTTTAGTTTTAAAACTTCATTTACCTGTTTGAGTTTATTTTCTAACTTGCTTGTTAGGAAAGAGATAAACGTATGATGGCAGAGAAGTGGTAGACTTTGTGATTGATGTTATTGTTATTTTATCGCTATTGTTGTCATCTGTTTATTCCAAAACATTTACTTTTTATCAAAGTTTTTATCAATACTTGCATGTGGTAACAAACCAGTAATATTATTAAAAACAAGAGCTACCCCATCCATCTCCAGAAACAACTTCTCTTAATCATTCTTGGTTAGTTCTTTTTTTGTTCCCTCCATTATTACTAAAAATTATGGAGATAACTCTAGATAATATATTTATACATGTAGACGATATGTTTATACATTAATTACTAAAAATTATGGAGGTAATCCTATATAATATGCTTATATATCTGTTTCTGAACCTTTCACCTTCAGGTAATTTCATTGACTAATACAAAAGATGAGGACTTAGCTAATTTATATTAACTTCTTTCTTCCTCTTTTTAAATGTCTGATATCTATCTTGTAGTTTATTTATTTATTTATTTATTTTTGGCTCTTCAATTGATTTCCATTTTGGCAGCTGGGGGTAAGGATTATTTTCCCTTAGAAGAGCTTTGCAATTGCCTTTGACCACTTCCTCCTTGTTTTCTCTGCTTCTCTTTCTGGAACTTACTTTGGTCACAGGTTGTACCACATTTATTGATTATCTTCTTTGTGCCAGGCACTCTGACACTTTAGAAGTCCGTAAGAACTAGGAATGCCTGGATAATACTTGCCCTTGAAAA